GGTATAACTCCTGTGCACAGTTGCGAGCTTCAAGATGCAACACTGTGGAAATATCTGCAATTCCTGTGTAATCCAACTGGACTTATTTGCCCTCAGCTTCACCTAAGCATACGCTTCAGTAAATCTTGTCGAAATTATTTGCTCCCTGCTTAACCTAAGCATAAGCTTCAGTAAGTCCTGTCGAACTTATTTGCTCTCAACTTCACCTAAGCATAAATTTCAATAAATGAATTCCTTTTATTCATAAATTCAAGTCTGTTTTTACATTTCTTTGTAGTGCCGTGTTGGTTTATTTTCCTCTTTACTGCTATCTGCAGTTCTTGCTTCGATCTCCTGACTAGCACCCTTCTTTCCCTCCTGTATCCTCTCGCCACCCCCTGCCTCCAGAGCCGCATCGGGGCACGCATCACTTCCAACCACTGTCACCGTTTATCGTCCTGAACTCCTAACCAGTAACTTCATTCCTTTACGCTATCCTGGCCTCAGTCGCACCCTCTGAGGTGTATCTAGGCAATTATCAACCAACACCTCCCCCCTTCCCAACCACGGTCCTCCTTTGCCCCCTCCCTCCAGCCAAGTAATGCAGCCGACATATACTGGGCAGCGCTTCCCGGCGTGTCTGGCAAAGTTCCAGCCAGCGCCGCTGAGAAATAGTATAGGCAGAAAGGATGGAGCGAAGCGCTGAAAGGCTAAGGCACCATAGATCATCAGCCGAGCGGAGTTATTGTAATTGCGGTGGTGTCCCATTAGTGCGGCGACGGGTGCTTTTTCGAAGCCGGGCCGAGTTTTAGCAGTTGTCGAGCAGAGTGTTTGCCAATTCTCGTTTCTGTTCCTACTTCCTACTGTCAGTTAGGGTCTGGATCCTTTGCAGTTGTTATTCCAGCCTCTTCTCTCAGTCATGAATCCGTGTGTGTTCAACTGGTATCCCCGGTCCTCCCATCCGCCTTCACCTGAGCTGCGCCATTCAAATTGAAGTTGAAGTTTAATTCCGTGCACAATCCGGGGAAAGCAGAAGGGGGCAGG